TCAATTGTTCAATGACATCCTTCTGCAACAGAGGGTAGCGATAAGGTCAAAGGTTTACTGTGTTTGATCCTTCCTTTAAAGGTATTGTATGATCGAACCCGACCTAAAAGGAGGTAGGCCTATAGGTTCCTTGAAGATGTCAAGGTAGGTGTTTAGTAGGCATTGTAAATCTTTTGGGAGTAGGTCTGTGTTCCGACGAGTCTTTATATGTAAATCTGGTAATGGAGTATCAGCGGGGGCAACAAGGAGTTGCATCATGGATAATTGCGCCTTTTGTCATAACACCTTCCCCATCTCTAAGTTACTAATTGTCTTGATTCCCTTGCCTGTTGCTCCTCATAATGTCACTTTTGTTCCTTTGACTAAGAAGTCAATATTATGTTTCAGAACTCTGTCCAGTGAAGTAAACCATTAGACACCTAAAACAACATCACACCCCCTAAGGGTATTAAGTACAATCGGTTGTGAAAGTAATACCTTGCATTTTTCATTCAAAGCGTTCTATCATAGTGTCACAATTTACCTTACCTCCATCTGCAACCCTTATTATCATATAAGGTTTTGGGACCAGTTTGCATCCCAACTTTTTCATTAATGTAGCATTGATAAAATTACGGGTGCTTCCTGTATCCAACAACATTCGTAATGCCTTTTTACCGTGGTGACGTGTTACACTCATGGTTTGGTAATCAGTAATTCTGACCAGGGCATTAATAGAGATGTGGGATAACTCCTTGTCTTTTAACATTGAAAACGTAACTTTAGAACTCCACTTAGTTTTAAGGATTAACCTCTACAAGCCAATCAACCAAGACTCCCCTCATACTCTGAGTTACATCTCGATGTACTGTCTCAATGAAATTATAGCGTGGTCTACGCATAAGCTGAATGGTAAAATAGACAAATAATCAGTATTAAGTTTTGGGTCAGGAGCAAGAAAGGTGTTCGGCCACCAGACAAAACTATGCTGCACGTAAATTGATGTATATCTCACTTACATAGAGGCTGCACATTTGAGGATCTTTCTGATCTGAATCTATATTGGTTATCATCTTCTTCTCATGACTACTCCCTGCATCATAGATGTCAAAAAGGTTAAAAACTTTGGTTTCACATGGTATGCAAATAAAGAAAACGAAGAAGGAAAAGATAGTTACTCGATCAAATCATCGGGCCGATGGTGAGGTTAGGGTTTTACAGTCAATGCTCGCCGCCGTTGAGAGAAGTGAAGACGATAGGAGCGCTGCACGGTGGAGGGGTGGAGAGGATACAAAACCCTAAATGGAGAAGGCACAAGATTAGGGAACGAACAAATCATCGAGACGATGGTGAGTTTAGGGTTTTACAGTCGATGTTCGCTGACGTTGAGAGAAGTGAAGACGATAGGAGCGCTGCACGGTGGAGGGGTGGAAAGGATACAAAGCCCTAAATGGAGAAGGCACGGGATTAAGGAAGATTAGGGTGTTTGGATTCCGAATTTGGAAAAAAGAAAAATTGGTGAGAATTAACAAATACCTGCACAGCGAAGATTTTCTTAACAGGGAGCGAGGCACGCCTGAGGATAAGAGGGAGGAGCAAGAGGAAAGGCAGCAAGAATGTCGGAGGCAATGACGTTTCAATTGTTTTAGATGGTGAGATGAAAGAGAAAGTCGCTTCAAATGGAAGAGAAAGTAAAATAACTTATGTTTTTGAATAAAAGAAAATAAAAAAAATTCCAGAAAATTAGAATAGTGAATTGCTGAATGGTGATGATGCCACGCAAGACATCCATCATCCTACTTATATATATATATATATATATATATATATATATATATATATATATATATATATAKACTAGTTGTGTTACCGTGCAATGCGGCGGGATACAAAATTTAATGAAAACCAAGAATATAAAATTAATGCAATTATTATTTACATCCATTTAAATAATTTTGATAATTACAAAGAATACAAGACAATATTTATAGTTTATCACTTTTCAAAAATTACTTTCTTTATGACCACTCGTTTACCAACGAGCACATTCTTTATGACCACTCGTTTACTAACTGCTAGTAACGACTAATCTGCAATGAACTGTCGCCGCCAATCTGACCAGCATTTACGACTTCACTTCTGCCACTGCTTGAGGTGGAAGACACGTTTACATATGAAGAACCTAAGAACATGATTTTACCCACAATCAGAATATGTTATGAAACAACATTATTTTTGTTTGGGAGAGTTTTCATAAATGGAAGGAGCAACTCTTCTAATTGGAAGGGGAAAGTTCACAATATAATTGGCTTTCTACATAAAGCTCTCTCCTAAAAGCTTATTGAATAAACCACATCTTATATCATTAAGTCACTATCAAACAGTCATATTCAAGTTAATAAGAAAAAAAGATAACTTATTTTAAATCAATTAACATAATGTCATATGATATACCACAGAATTCTGCTGAAGAAGGTAGTCCTGAGGCTTTAAAATCATTAAAGCACCAACATCAAAGTTCAAGCTTGCTGTTGGAAACATGTTGGGCAAGGAAGACAACCTGACAGACTGAAACCAACTGTGTGATATGCAGCAACATAAGTGATACCAACATTTACATAAATAGAAATCATTTGACCCTTAGTCATTTATCTAAAAGATTTGAAGGTAATGAAAAAAAAAAGGAATTTTTGTCTACCAAATAAATGCCATCAGGTTTTTGTAACCAGTATTAAAACACTAAAGAAAATCCCATAAAACTATTGACAAAATAGAAATTTCAGATATAAACAATGTACTCGTTCTMAAAAAAACTCCAACGATTGGCTCATCGAGTAGTTCAATGGAAGTGTTCAAACAATGTACTCGTTCTCAAACTCAATTGGACAGAAACCTCAAAGTCCTATATTTTTTGTAGGTTTTTTTTCTTCAGCAACTTTTACCCTTTCATCATGATATGTTATAATGAAAACCAAAATCACAGAGATGGAGTTAGTGAGGGACAGTTTAGTCATGTTTTTCCCTTAAACAAGGACCCCCAAAATAAAGGTTTTTAATTCAAAAGAAAACAATCACTATTGGATACATCTGGCTCTTCCTTTGTAGCCCGAGTATATAGCTAGCATATTGAATTTTTCTGACTTCAGAGAACAGATAAATCTTAAGCATTAGTAGATATGAAATTTGTACCATTCTACCTACACCTGGTGATCCAACAAATATGATTTTGTCAACCAAGGACACCAAAGCTTATTCTGTCTCAGAAAGCCTGGCAAAATTCCACGTTTGAAATACCTAAGAAATGCAAATTAATAGCATAATCAAAAAGGCTTACCCAGTTATTACTTCAACAGGATTTTCAGGAGCTCCAACAACTGCAAGGGCTGGTTGAATAATCCACACATAGAAACATCTAGACCAGCTTGGATGTTTAGGGACCTGCAAAATCAATCAAATAATTTCACTTCAAGTGGAAGTCAATCAGTGGAGAACTAACCTTGATTAGAGCCCTAATCTTTATTAAATTCTAGAGTTATAACACATAAAACTTCGTTCTATTCAAAATTTGAAGAGTATAACACATAGAAAAGTTTGAAAAGTATAATCTATACCAAGGACGCCTTTTCTAGGTGAAGATGGAGATAGGGTATGGCAAAAAATTGCACGAACCAATCATGGATATACTTGAAACAACCCAGCTACATAAAACAACAAAACTAAACCAAGAACCCAATGCATCAATAGAAACCCTATGAAGAACGTTATCTATCCACAACATCAAAACCAAATATATCCCCAATAACAAAGACGCAAAACCCGCCGGTGATGTCTGCAATAGTGGAGCCGGTCGCGGCTGCCTCGTGACGACGTAGACACCTTATCGGAGAACTGAATCGGAATAGGAGGATACCGAAGTAAGTTGAGAATCATAGCAGACAACTCATATAAAACCCTAGATTGTTTTTCATATAACTCAAACAGCCCTGTTCAGCTTCTTATCATTTCAAAACCGAATTCAAGAACGATAGGTGACATTCTCATCACTTAAAACCGAATTCACCAAAAACCATAAATCAAAACAAACCAAAAACTAACAACATTAAACAAGTTCAAAAAAGTCTCATAAGTACAACCATTTCAGCCAACAAAGATAAAATTTTACCCGAATTAAAACCTAAATTTAAAGCAAACCAAAAATTGCGTGTTCTAACCTTAGAAAGCAGATGAAAGTGCAATCACTTTACCTGGTGAAGTGAGCTCACACATGATTGTCGAGATGAATGGGTTTTATCCTCGAATGAATTACCCACAAACGAAGAACAAAATATGGGAGAGGAGAAGGATTATAAACCTTTTGAAGGGTTTGAAAGAGAAGAGTTCGAGTTATGCCACCACCACCACTCCCTTATGCCGCCACCGACCCACAAACGAAGGAAGAAATTAGGGTTTTAGAAGAAGAAATTAGGGTTTAAGTAMGAAGAAAGAAACAATTTGAAGTCCATTMAAAAAAGAAGCAAGCTKGAATCGACGTCTGGGGAAGGGAAGAATCGACGTCAATGAGTACATGGGACTTTGAACCGTCACATTGGAACTGTGAATTGCCAGGGATAGAAATTGAGAGGTTGTGCTATGAAGTTGTAAATAGAGTTTTTAATGTTGTACTTCAAGCTTATGTAGTATAAATAAGGGTATTTTGGTTCAATAATATTTTAAGACTTTAAGACTTCTTTTAAATTTGTTTAATAAAATAGTATCGATATAGATATAGATAATTCTATTTTTATTCTTTAAAAAAAATATTGGTATAAAAAGATCAAATTACCCCCTCCACACGAGGAAAAATCAATGTGTTATCAAAACCAAAAACATAACAATGGTAAACATGTATGTTTTTGATTGCAAATACTTTTAAGTGTCGTGACTGAGCAAAACCAATATTTCCCTTAAAAATGGAATACATAAAATGATTTTGGAAGTTTAGCAGTCAGCTTTCTCGATGCTTATGTCCCCAATCCACCACAATGCTGTTGAAACCCACCTTCAATCTCTCCCCATCCATGCTCAAAACCCTCATCACCCACAAAAAAAACCCATCTTTCTTGCTCAATTGGTCTCCATGGCGCTCTCGCTCACTAAAACCCTTAAACCCCATCACCCGCAGACCGTCTCAACACCTCTCCACCGCCGCCGCCGCCGTGCCCCATGACCGATCAGCCCCGGTTCGAAAAGGGCGTCCTCACAATAGTACTGAACGAGACGAATCCCAAATGGGTCTCAAGGCAGAGAGAAGAGCCCGTCGCAACTCTCCATCTGGTACCCTTCTTTCCAAGCTTTGCAGTTGCTCTAGAGATAACGATACCAAAGAAGCTCTTCGTCTATACGAAGAAGCGTTAATCAACGATGTTCCACTCAACGTCGAGCATTACAATAAGTTGTTGTATTTGTGTTCTTCTAGTACTACTGATCTAGACTTAGAAAGGGGTTTCGAGATATACAAGCGAATGGAGAGTAAAGTCGTCCCAAATGAAGCAACTTTTACCACTATGGCTAGATTGGCTGCTGCTAAAGAAGACCCTGAAATGGCCTTTAATTTGGTGAAAAGAATGAAGGAGGAATGTGGGATTTCGCCTAAACTTCGGTCTTATGTCCCGGCTTTATCGGGGTTTTGCAAGAAAGAAATGGCTGATAAGGCTTATGAGGTTGATGCTTACATGATTCAGAATGGGGTTGCAGCTGAAGAGGTTGAACTTGCAATGCTTTTGGGGGTTAGTTCCCATTCGGGAAGGGTGGATAAAGTATATGAAATGTTACATAGATTAAGAGCTATGGTTAGGCAGGTGAGTGAAGATACGGCCACATTGATAGAAGATTGGTTTAGTTCAGATAGAGCTACGGGTGTGGGTCAGGTGAATTGGGATGTGGAGAAGGTTAGAGAAGCGATTCTGGAACGTGGCGGTGGGTGGCATGGGCAAGGGTGGTTCGGGAATGGGAAATGGCAAGTGATGAGGACGAAGATGGATGCAAGGGGTGTTTGCCAATCTTGTGGCGAAAAGCTTGTTAGCATTGATCTTGATCCTTTGGAAACAGAAAACTTTGCTAGTTCCTTGAGTAATTTGGCTTGCCAACGAGAGACAAGAGCCGATTTTTTGCGGTTTCAGGTATGAATATGATCACAGATTTCTAGATTGCGAGAGCTACTAATTTTTAAGTATTATGTTTCTCAATTAAATTAACTTATACTGCCTGCTGCTAACCGGCATTCAAACTGAAAACATCAACTTACCCTATGATGTTAGAGTGCTATATGACCTCTTCATGTCGTTAAATCCATGGGTTGCTCACGCATTTCTGTATCATCGTTGCAATGCACTTGAAAATATTCATGCTTTGCCATTTTTGACCAATTTTTATTAAGCAAACTCATGCAGGAATGGCTTCAAAAGCATGGTCCATTTGATGCAGTTGTGGATGGTGCAAATGTGGGTTATCTCAAGAACTATTTCGACTTCAATCAGGTGCAAATTAGACAGAAGGCTTAAAATAGACTATTCATATGATTATAAACACAAGTCACAACATCCTTACTTTCTACTCAGCATAATTCATACTCCTTTGCAGCTTAAATATGCAGTCAACTCAGCACGTAAACTGAGTCCATCAAATAGGTTACCGCTTGTCATTCTGCATAGTGGTCGAGTCAGAGGTCAACACACCGGGAATCCAAGGAATAAAACGGCATTGCAGCAGTGGAATGAGTCTGGGGCACTTTATGTTACTCCCCAAGGATCAAATGATGATTGGTAAGAACTTATTCTATTAAAATGCATACATTAAAATAATAGCTTGTGCACACACGGGTGATTTTGAGTTGGTCAACTCGAAGGTGAGTTCATGAAAGAATATCCAGGCTCGTACTTGCCTCTATTAAGGCTCGAGGCTCAGCTTAGCTCGTGTAGTTTCACTTTCTATAGGATTGTGAAGGCCCGTATACGCTACGGCCATGAGTTGCCTCGACTAAGCTCAATTTTTTTATGCGTGCTTGTATAGGCACCGATCTTGCTTGGTTCATATGAGCTTGTACACAATTAAAAGTTGAACTTGAGATTAGAAAATTACTAATAAACTATTTTTAAAACTTAGAACTGGAAGTCAACAAGAGACTCAGACTAGTGGGCTAACAAAAGAGAAACCACACTATGGCTTGTGGCATTCATACAAGCTCCACTCATTTAGGCTTGCCAAGTTGCCGAGCCTAAGCAAAATTAGCCTTGAGCTTTGCTCAAATGGGCAAACAAGTAAGCTTGGCTTGGCTTGAGCTTTTCAAGGAGCCGGCTTGTCTCATCTACCCTCTTATGCTCACTGCAGCTAGCGTAACCACCCAAACCAAACTAACCCAGTATATCCTACTTGAAAGTAAGGCTGCGGGTACGATGTACACAGACTTCGCCTTTATCCCAAAGGGTAGTGCGGGTGTTCCCCTGAAGACACTGGCTATTTGGTTAAAGCGTATAATTTTCATAAGTTTGGTCGTTCATCATGCGTTGCTTTTGTTATTTTGCATTTTTTGACGAACATTCGTTTTCTGATGGATGTTATATCGGGTTAAAACTCGGATGTTTTCCCAGGTATTGGTTATACGCTGCTATAAGTAGCAAGTGTTTGCTGGTGACAAACGATGAGATGCGAGATCACTTGTTTGAATTGCTAGGCACTAACTTCTTCCCAAGATGGAAAGAAAAGCACCAGGTATGGTTTCCATGTGCTTGGTCATATCATCGATCGGTTATTTGTCAGATGTCTAAAATACCATGCACCAATGATAAAATAAGGAGAGTCGTGTGGACCAATATTATAAAAAAAACCTCATTCTTAAACTTTGAAAGTTGGCTGGAGCATTAGTTAAACAAAAGGGGATAATTTACTAAACTACCATGTCACAAAACCTTGCATCATTCTTTAACCTGCCTATGTCACTCTCGCTCATCCAATCCTAATAAATGATCGAGTCAAGCATAACATTAAATTACAACATGGTTCTTTATGTTGGTTTGCAGGTTCGATTGTCTCTTACAAGCAATGGACTTCAATTTCACATGCCTCCACCGTACTCGATTGTTATTCAGGTAAGTTTTGTTGTGGTTTCATATGTTCTCTCAAAAGTGATTGCTTGTTTAAGCGCAAGCGGTCTATTCGTTACTCGTTAGAGAAATGCTAAAAAAGTGTTCATGACTACAAACATGTAAAGATTGTTTTATGGGTGCTTGGTTGGTGGTAATAAGGGGTGGGGAATAAAAATGGAAATTATTAGTGGTGTCTAGTTTGATGCAATGGAATGGTTCATTACCAAATACTAGGCAATGAAGCATTTCTCATCAAATCGGAGGAATGAAAGCATTCCTGTTCTCATTTGCGTTTCTTGAAACGAAGCAAACACCATGCATTTGGACACAGGGCATGACAGAAGAAAGTCTTGCCCCACGTTTGGTGCGACAGTTAGACTAGAACCATAAAGGAGTTAGTGGAACAAAAATAAGGGAGTTGGGACAAACTTGGTAAATTACTTAACTGCCCATATCGAATTAAAACTCTAAAACCTTCCATAATTCTTTCACCTGTTTACATCACTCTTGCCTATTCAGTTAAATCTGTCTTGTCCAGTATACCAAACACACCCATAAGAATGGATTTTCAGTCAAGTGCTTAGCTTCTGCATATGCATGTATAATTGCGGTTTAACAATATATTGCAGGAGTCAGAACGAGGCAGGTGGCACATACCAACTGTGTGCAGAGATGACTTGGAGACCAACAGACAGTGGGTTTGTGCCCAGCCAGACCACGTGACGGTTTTGCCATGAGCTGTTATCGTTTCTTAGACCGGTTGGCTCTGTGGTTGCAGCGGTCGGATTAGGTGCTCGATTTGGCATGTTACCTCCCTTCCCATGTAGCAAAACCATCCTTCAGTTCACATGACAGGGTTGGCTTTTGCCAAGAAACATGAAAGAAAGAATGCATGCAAAAGAGAAGTTAGAAAAAGTAGTACATTTAATTCTTACAATATTTCCATTGTTCTAAAATGGTGATAAGTACCATGTCAATGGCACAATCCATTATTATGTGGTAGGTTTTAGTAATGTATCTTGTAATACATAATTTATGGTATAAATTTTAATACATGGTTTTGAAGTATGGTATAAATATTATGATATATGATATTTCATTTCTGTCTCGGTGGTGTCTGATTGGTTTGAGCTTGGCTCCAAAGGTCAAAAGTACCAGGAGGTCCCAGGTTCAAATCAAAGGAGGAATAAAAATCCCCTTGTGGCCACGGAGGTTTAAATGCGGTGACTCCGTGCTATCTGCAAAGCAAAAGGTCGCTTTGGGATTAGTCAATTCGCATAGCGGGTTGGATATCCAGGTTAATAAAAAAAAAACTTTCTTTTTTATATCATTAGAAATTACATTTCATAGACCTCATCTTCCCTTTTGATTTCCGTGATGTTTTCTTACGCACGCCAAACGTTAGGTCACTGGATGTCGTGGACTAAAGGCCATGATTTGGTCATGTTTCCTAATGAATACTTATTTTGTTTGGAAAACACTATGAAATGTACGATCTGATCTCACCCATAGAATAGAGCAGTTGTTTTCGTTAAAAACTTGACCAGTGCATAACGTGGAGAAACAGAAATACATATTAAACTTGTGGAAAAAGACCATAAGAAAAACATTGGAAAAATAAGTAAAAAACACTAACGACGTTACTAAACTTTGAAAAACGAGTTTGAACGAGGTCAGTCGAAACTCAAATCGACAAACAAACAAAATATACAAACGGAAGCATGTACACGAAAATGTAACCTCTAAACCTAGGGTATAACAAGGGTCTAACTGTCACTCAATAACCCTAATCCAATCATCTACCTCTCTTCAGACCCTTTCCTGTCTAGTTGTACCCACCCTATCTGTTACGTCTTCAAAGAATTTCTATCAAAAATCCTATATTCGAAAATACCTTAAAAACGTCTAACTTTAATTACGTATCCAAAGTCTTCCTTGTCTACCCCTCCTCACTTCCCGACCCTCGCATTACCCTTTTCACTAAAGTCATCTTCCGTCTCTTACGAATGTGGACGAACCATCGCCAATTATACTCTCTCAACTTATGAAATATTAGAATATATGAGCATCTCAAACAACTATGCTGTTGAATAAACTTTAGAGATTTGGGAAAAATTTATTCTAACAGTAATACTAAACTCTCTTCTATTATAGAGATTGAAAGGTGAAAGAATGGAGAAAATCTCAGAATTTGGAAGAAGATAGAGAAAATATAGCATACATTTTGGAGATATTCTAAGTAAGGGTGTTCGAAATGCGGCCTGGGGCCAAACCACACTGCATATGCGATTTGAGCATTTTCCCAAACCGCAAAACGCATCACATAAACTTCAAACCGCACCGCATTTGGTTTATACGGTTTGTCTCTATCCCACTTTATACCTACCATATAATAATTGTAAGTATGAAAATACATTATAACGTCAATGATAACTTGACCGTTGTCTTAAAAAACAAAGGATTTTAATACACCCGAATCCAGAATACACATATTGCAAAATTAAAAATAAATTAAAAATAAACTTTAAACTAAATTGGACATGTGAGTTGTAGTGTCCACACTTTTTCTTTCATCTCGATCCTTTATATATATATATATATATATATATATATATATATATATTTAAATATGCGGTGCGGTTTGAACCGCAGTTTGATAACTCAAAACTGCAAATCGCACCGCATAGTACGGTTTGGTAAGAATGTAAACTGTAAATCACACCACTAATGTTCTAAACCGGGCTTTGCGATGAGCTCCGATCCGATATGAACGGTTTAGATAAACACCCCTAATTTTAAGGGGCTGTTTAGTTCAAACAAAATAAATAAATAAACATAATAGAGGATGAAAATGGAAATGAAATTTTCATTCTCCCAGTTTAGAACAAAAATTTAGATGGCGTTTGTTTTTTAATATATGCTGAAGTTTGAAGTCTTATTTCATTTCGGATTTATACGAGGTGGTGCTGAAGTATGAAATTTGAATCAATAAGAAGGTTTGTTTTTGTAAAATGATAAACGCTTGAATTTGTTTAATTTTGACTATTTTACACATTAAAAAATTTAGTGTTGAATTTATAGATAAATTTATACAATTTCGCATATTTATTCATCATGATGAAATTTACATTTAAATTATATAATTAACATTCATATAAACGAAAATATGTCATTAACGGTGTTTAACACATCTACATCCTATTAAAATATATTAATTGAGAGAGGTGACGATTGATTTGGTAAGGATTGATTGAGATTAATCGATTGAGAAACATCGTTGTCGAGGATTTAAAAAACAATATAAGACAAATAAAAGGTTGGTTTACCTCTTATCAGATAAGAAGAAAATAAAAAAATAAGACGTTAAGTAACTGGAAAATTGAAAAAAAAAAACAAACTGTGTGAATGATGTTGCTAATTATTTACATCTGATTAAATATCGCCACAGGAATCGGAGGGCTTAAACCCTTCTGGCCCTAAATTGAACTCCAGGGATAAAACCCTCTCATCTTCGCCATTGTTCTTCTTACATTTCTTCTTGTTTCGAATGGAAGACTTCATAAAGAATCAAACATTTGCAATCCACGCAGTGGCAGGTGCAGGAGCTTTAACGTTAGGTACTGCTGCCACTTACCCTTTGGAGACGATCAAAACCCTTGTTCAGGTTTCAATTCATAAATCCTTGCTTGTTTATCCTTAGATTTAAACCTTTTTGTTCATCTTATTTTTGTTTCGACACTTCATGTTTAATAATCGTTATTTGATCTTTTTACGGGGTCAAAAACATTTACTGTATCTTTTTCCATTGTTAATGGGATCACTAACAGGTTGGATCAGGCCCGGATAAACAGTGGAGTGCCGCTCAGGTGTTTGATCGAGTTCGCAAATTATCTGGCAATTCGGGTAATTTTTCTTGAAGTTTGTCAATTAGGGATCACAGTGTTAGCCGTTTGTTTACAATCTTTTGTATCCAGAGTTCGTTAATTGCTTATACTGAACAGTTATCGAATGCGTTAGTATTTCTCTAGTTGTTATATAAAAGCACTTCAAAATTTGGCACATAGAAGTTGGATTTAAGTTCTAGAAAAGTTGCCTTCTTGACTCCAAGGCTTTATTACAATGTGAGCTTGAACATTGAGAATGATGAATATAATCTGCTCAGAAGATTGGCAAAGTAATACATAGAGGATTTGAGTAATTTGCTTTCTTAAGGTCTAATTTGAAGAATTTAGTAATGAATCCTCAATTGTGGGGAAGTAATGCCCATTATTTTGAAATCAGCATCATTACCAAACAGCAGGATCCAAGTGGGACAAAAATGCATTTTCTCTGTCCCATCAAGCTATTATAACACTAAAACCTTCCACGATTCTTTCACCCGTGTAGCTCACTCTTACCCGTCCAGTCCTGTCCCGCCTACCAAACGCACCTTAGAACTACTTGCACCAGTAAGAATATGCAAATGCTTCATTGTCTGTCTAGATTTACTCTCTTTACAAAGAGTGATTGTTTTTACAGAAACAAGGTTAAACCATTACATTCATTATTTTTTAATTGAGGAATTGATATTCTTTCTTGCACATGAACCAGCAGTTTAGTTGTTCATTTCTGTGTAATGTTTTTGTGTATGACCTTTTTGCTTCATATCTGATGGTCATTAATACTAAAATGTGAATCCCTTTTTAACATACATATATCACTGTGAGGTTAACTGAGCTCCTGTTATATGTTCTATCTTCAAAATTGTTGCAGGGTTGTACAATGGTTTTGGGTGGTTGGCTTTAGGGAGAATCTTGGGTGTGGGAGCACGTTTTGGCACCTATGAATTGCTGACAGCTTTCTATAAAGGTGGATTGTTCATCTATTTGGCATTATACTTATTGGTTAGTAGTGTAACTCCCATTGTTACTGTTTCTGACTTTCTGGATAGCTTCATCTACTTGCAGTATTGTAGATGGTTAATTGAGTGTAGTTATATATATATATATATATATATATATATAGGGTTCGGTTCCAGTGAGAAGGAGAGTTAAGGCGAGAAGCGTAATAAGGGATCTCCACCTTGGATGCATATTAGGATGAGATGCACCTGATCAATCCCTGTATCAAGCGTGATTCATGGGTGGGTTTGAGATTAAAGGTGACCAAGGGTCCAGATTCTTTCTTACGCTTCTCACCTTCACTCTTCTTCTCACACTACCCTTCGCCTATATATATGTATATATATATATACTGAAGTATATTTATATATATGGAAAATATTCACGCACACTCCTCACCTATGAGGAAGTTTGAGCCGAATGGCCCCCTAGGAGGCTAGGATTTACCGATAACCTGGATGCTACTGGGCTAATGACCCTTTGGTTTTATGTTTTTTCTGCATTCAGAAGTTCCGCATAACGCATCTTGATCATAGCAGTACATGCTTTTTATGCAGATGGCCGTAAAGACAACTATGTGTACGTTTCAGAAGCTCTTTTGGCAGGAATTGCAGCAGGTGCTGTGGAATCAGTCATGAGCTCTCCATTTGAGCTTTTTTCAATTCGCGCACAGGTGAAAACTGCTTCTCGTATTCCAAACTCTTCCACCATTGTAGAAAAAACGACCATATCCTCTTCAACTGCAAAACTGCTACGTGGGTATTCTCCAGATGTCAAGGCACTGAACCATTCTGTTGGTCTCTTGTCCACCCTCAACACTAATAGTTCGAATTTGACTGGCTCCCTGAAAGAATATCCATGGATGATGACTGGGACTGGGAGGGCCCCACCCGTCTATCTTGTTAGCAGGCCCACTGATGTGATATCTTTAGAAGGATTGGGTGCGTTGTGGAGGGGTATCCGATCAGGGTTAGTTCGTGATTCTGTTTTTGGTGGTGTATTCTTTTCAAGTTGGCAATTTCTACATCGTGCAATGCTGGACTGGAAGGCTGTGGGGATGGACCCGATACCAAGGTCTGCATACAAATATGACATTTGTTTGTTTCAGTTTGAATGTTTACTTATTAACTTTTAAAGAAGTCACATTTGGCATTTCTATCATATGATTATTGCAGGAAGATAAGTTCAGTTAGTTTATTGGTACTTTGGGAAAATACTTGGAGTCATGCTGATGAACCTATTGACTCACAAACAAAGAACTAAGGCAAAGAAGCCTGATCTTCAAACTGCAAATTTTTCTCTAACATGTTTGTAAATCTTTTTGCCGATTCAGCTCTGATGACGATGTTGGCCCGTTACACCCTTTAGCTGTTAGTCTGGCAGCTGGATTTTCAGGTTCGATTGCTGCAGCAGCATCCCATTCTTTTGATACTGCCAAATGTCGATCACAATGTCTTGTGCTGCCAAAGGTATTTTCCCTTCATACAAATTTATTAACATATTATTTGCATTGTTAAATCATGACATCACCCATTCTGTTGTAACAAATTTAAATCTCACATGTACGGTTGAGATCTCAAGCATGTTCAGGATCTAGTTTAAGTTTACCATTGTAATAATCATTTTGAATCAGCAGAAAGAAATTCATTCTCTCAATGCTGATATGGTATCTGTGTTGAGAGAAAATATTTCTTTTCTTTGATTGAAATTTGGAAATGATTATTAGAGTGGTGGTTTATAGTCAAATGGAAGGAGGTACTAAGCTAGATCCTGACATACATCTATCTGAGAAGTCAAACGTACATGTGGCCTCTAAGGGCCGTTTGTTAGTAGCTCAATGAGCTTAATGAGACTCGCAACTTATTTGGTCAGCTATACATGACTGTTTGGTAGTGCCTTAATGATATAGAAAGTGGCTTATTCAGTAAGCTTTAGGGGGAAGCTTTATGCAGAAAGCCAAATTTTTGTCAAACTTGCCCCTTCCAATTAGAAAGAATGCTCCTTTCATCTATGAAAAAACCCTCCCAAATAAAAACCTTTCCATTCTACACAGACATATTAATAGCGTAGCAGTCAGCACTATGTCTCGATTTAGGAAGATGCTGGTCAATGACCCAACAATCCCCCCAACATCTGCCAGCACTAACAAGACTTTCGCTAAAAGACAATGGTTGCACAACATGCCTTTGGCATTATTATGCACCTCATCGGATTCAAACCCGTGACCTGCTTTGATACCACATGTTAGGATCCAAGCGCTTACCACTACACTAAAAGCAATTGCTGATGGAGAAGGCGCAAGCGACCTTCTCTGATACCACATGTTAGGATCCAAGCGTAGTAGTCAACGTCACGTTTCGATTTAGGAAGATGCTGGTCAATGACCTAACAATTCTCACAGACAACTTTATTCATACATAACTTAATAGAAAACCAACCAACAGCCCCTAAATTTGTTATACCAGAATAGTTGATGTCATGGTTTAACAACATCATGGATCCTACCCCTGAGGGTCTTTGGTCAGTTCATCCAGTATCATTCAGATCAGTAAGTCGTAATTTCTTCAAAGGCCTATGCCCCCAATGGAAATTACACAGAAAAAAAAACTTGGTGTCATGTAGGGAGATTGTCACAATGCAAACAATATTTCATAAAGCTAAATGAATCCTACATTTTAGATGGAAGAAAAGGTTCTATTCAGTCTGTTTAGAGCATATTCATTTTGTGGGTCATATTTATATGGTCTGAGAAAAAATGAATATGTGATGTGATCCTATTACTCGGATATAAGATGGGACCCACAACAAGAGTCCCGCAGAATAGAGAATGGAGGAAATGGTTTGTAAACAACTAAACATATAGAAACTTAAAGTTTATCAATGTCGCAAAGGAGCAACAGCAGAATCTCTACTCTACCCTAAACTTAGACTAGAAATATCCCTCTCTTACCATACTACTTTTAGGTTATCTTTTGTAAAATAAAATAGGGGTCGCTTCTCGCTTGATTTGTTTCAAGGCAATGGTAATGAGAATGGGTATAACAAGGGATGATAATGTTGGGGAATGTTTACTAGGAAATGGATGATTACCCACTTTTAAGTAACCACTCATTCTGTTATATTGAACCAAACACCGTTATTCATCATCATTCTCGTTGCGCACCTCCTAATAGTAATACCCCCGTTAAGTTTGAAGCAAAGGTGGTTGTATTTGGTGCAATAATTGTGTGTTGGTGTTTGAATTTCAGTATATTAGCATGGAGAGGAAGTTTCTGAAATGGAGTCTGCCTGGAAAGAGGTTCGAGAGACTTACAGGTATCCATCCTCGAGATAGAAATATACTTTTTCGTGGGATTTGGTTGCGAATGGCTCGCACTGGAGTCGCATCTTTTGTTTTTGTAGGCAGTTACTTTTTTTTGATTGATCACTTAGTTTTGAGATGAACCACCATTCATTCATCATATCAACTTCTATGAATTATGCTCAAACCAGTGTGTGTAATATGAGCGTCTCTTTGGCTTAGAAAAGGTATTCATCTAACACAAGTCTCTTTGGCTTAGAAGAAATTAGACTCATATGGTCCTTCTAATAAGAGTGCATATTGGAATATTTATCTATTTGGGTTGGGTTTTAAATAAGAGTGCATATTTTATTCGAATCTATGGTCCTTCCATTTTCATGTGTTTTAGTTTTAGGAACATGAGTCTTGTGAAAAGATGAAATGTAGTTATGGCATTTTAAGTGGTACCTCCACTTTGCCACAAAACACACACACATGTATGTGTATATATATATATATATATATATCTATATATGTAGGGCCAAGATCAATGCTAACTATAATTTTTGTGTTAACCTTATTAACTGATTTTGGCCATGCAAATCTATAATCAATGGTTAAGATTAATCAATAAAAAAAAAATTTAAAGTTTGAATTTTAACGAGGCCTAGTGAACAATGATGAAAGGGGCATTTTGGGAAGAAAAAAATACACTTATCAAGGGTATTATAGTAAATTGAATTCATTTCTAACCCCCAAACAATTAATGGGGAGTTACAAACAATCAAATCTCAAAAAATATGCATTCATATTATTTTTTTATTTTTTTTACTATTGATCTTCCATGTTCATTCTTGTATGAATTCCTAAATCGCATAAGAAACACGGTAGTAACAWTTTTCGRTATTGATCAATTTGAACACAAATGAACTGTGAACACAATTTGAACAAAAATGAACAACCGTGAACACAATTTGWACACAAATGAACCGTGAACACGATATGAACATGATATGAACACAAATGAATACGATATGTGCAATTTTTTGCCCATATATTCACATACATAGACGTCCCACAAAATTAAGGTAGCATCTGTTAATTTGTGTTCATCTGTTAATTTGTTCAAATTGTGTTCATGGTTCATTTGTGTTCAAATTGTGTTCACAGTTGTTCATTTGTGTTTCAAATTGATCAATACCAAAAATCGTTACTACCGTATTTCTTATGCGATTTAGGAATTCATACAAGAATGAACATGGAAGATCAATAGTAAAAAAAACTAATAATATGAAAGCATATTTTTTGGAATTTGATTGTTTGTAACTCCCCATTAATTGTTTGGGGGTTACAAATGAATTCAATTTACTACAATACCCTTGTAAGGGTAAAATGAACAAAACATAAACCTATAAGAATAATGGAATTTGATTGGTTGAGAGGGTTTTCAAAGTTAACACAAAAATGATGGTTAACATTTGATCTTCCCTCTATATATGTATATATATATATATATATATGTATGTGTATATATATATATGTATATATGTATGAGTATATATATATATATATATATATATATATATATATATATGGAGCTAATCAAATGAGAATCTTAAATATCATGATAACCATAAGCACCGGTGCATCGTGTGTTATTTCACATAATTTCTTTTTCATCTAAGGTTAAAGTTGAAAGTATTGACTAAGGTATATTTGTTTTACATGTACTTGTTTCATGATTTAGAACTTTTTTATGCAAACTTGTTAGCTAAAATATATGTGAAGAAGTTTTACATTGTGAAACAAATACATGTAAAACAGAGACATTGTGAAACAAATATATGTTAATCAATATCTTGAATTATGTCATTCAATAAAAGAAACATGTAACACCATACCTTAAAGTATAAATTTTTACGGTTTTCATAATATTTGAAGTTCTCATTTGATTATGATATGTTACTATATATATATATCTATACTATCTTATAAACCAGATTTATCAAAAGTCTTAAAAACAATTTTTAATGCACAAAGTCTTAAAAACAACTCATAATGAATTAAGTACTACTACTTTATGCATTCAGTCTTAAAATCTCTTAATCTATAATTAAATTAACATATAGTACAAATTATCAATGCACATTATTACCTTTTTTTTTTATGTTTCCAAGATACTTTTGACACCTTTCACTTGTGTCTTCATCTTCTCATACCTCTATGTCTTCTTCCTATCCTCCAAGGTGAGATTCAAACTAATATTCACCATGAGTTATTAAAAGTTCTCTCATTCATCTCCCATTCAATTGTTCTAGAACTCCCGGTCTCGCTCTCGATCTCTTGATTATTTGCTCTTGTTGTAAATCAAATATATTTGTGGAGTCATTTAGATATGTTGGATTTTAAAATGGGGTTAAATACATGAAATAATAATATACTTTCATAAATTTTCTTATTATGGTATTCTACTTTTGTTTTTCTTTATTACAACAATGTACTTTCAAATTATTTTTTATTAAGACATCGTACTTTAAAAAATCTACCCATAATAGCAATGAGTAACCTTTAACCTTTTAAACAGGTTAACCCTTTGACTTTTTTTTTGCTTCTGTGACTTTAATTAGGTGATGTGGATGACACATCATTTTGATGACTTACCTAAAATAAAAATAAAACTCTATTTCAAATTATTATTAATGATTTTCATTTTTCATTGTTATGATCTAAAAAACATTTAATTTTTTTGACTTTTTCTTATTAAGTTGCATGCAAATTAAATATTTTAGAATAAAATATTTTTAAAATACATACGAAACATTATTTTTGAAATATATTTTGTTTGTAAAAAAAATAATACTTCTTATTTTATGTTATTCAAATAAATATATATCTTTTAAAGTTCTCTTTAAAATGTTAATGAAATAAATTGTGATCTACAATTTTTTAATATTGTTATATTAATAAATAACTCAAAAAATCCAATTAATTTAATATATTTATACGTCAAGTAAAAGCTTTTGAACAAATATAATATATTCTTTAAATGATAATATTTTTTTGGTAAAAGAGGAACAATTTTTATTTCATTTTTTCAAAAAACACATATTTTTTTAAAAATATTAGTGAGATAAGTTGTGTTATACTAGTTTTAATGATATTGTTATATTAATGAATAATTTAGATTTTTTTAATTCATTTAATATATTTATTAAATAACATGTAAAATATCTAAATATTAAAATAAAAAATACAGTGTTTAATAAAAACTAATAGATGCTATAATAAAATAATTTAGAAAATACAATGATGTAATAAGAAAGTCACATCATTATAGTACATGTGAACAACCTACGTGGACAATGAAGTGACATGAAAACCTGATATAATAGGTAAATTTAAATCAAAAGGTTACCCAATGCTATAATGGTTAAAATTTTTAAAGTACAATGTCCTAATAAAAAATAGTTTGAAAGTACATTGCTGTAATAAGAAAAACTGAAAGTAAAATGTTATAATAAAGAAATTTATGAAAGTAGATTGTTATTTTATGCATTTTGCCCTTTTAAAATGTATTGGATTTTAAATTGTTATACCTTTTTTTTTTCATTGATAAACTGTAATTGGAATATTAACTCTTATTTATTCAAATTGTATTAATATGTAAAGACTAAATGTAACTTATATTATTGTTGAATCTTCTCTAATAAAACCAGTGAAACTTCAAAATCGGTAAAAGTCACGAGTCTTGTCGCATTGCACGGGCATACAACTAGTATATATATATATATATAAATATATATATAGGGGAACGTTCAAATAAAAACCATTCAATTTGTAAAAACCGTGAAAACCTTATTCAACCAATCATAATTTTTCATTTTGTTTATTTTTTTGTAATTATGAGAGGTTGATTAACCATTTTTATTGTGGAGGGTGTTAATTATGGATATTATCATCTTCATTATTTTAATTTTAGAGAAATACATGAAACTGTTTCATTAAAATTTCATTAAGTAGTATATGAAACAATTTCATAACCATATATGAAACAACTTTATCAAAAAAAGTATTATATGAAACATTTTCATAAGATTAAACAATTTTATGAAAAAATTTCATAAGATTACGATGGATGAGAGTAGTTTTTACGGTTTTTACAAATTGAAGTGATTTTTATTTGATCGCTCCTCTGTATATATATATATATATAGAGAGAGAGAGAGAGAGAGAGAGAGAGAGAGGGGGGGGATTAAGGGATAATTTTTCACTTGTGTAGGAAACAAAATTATTATCATCAAAATTGAATAAATGTAATGAAAAGCACTTTTTAAGCTAAAAGCCAAACAAGTTGTATGGATCCTTTGACCTCTTCTTAAGTATCATTAAAGCTACATGCTTCCTCCAACCATCATTCCTTTTTCTTAAACTATTTTTTACAAATTAATGCATTTGTGGGACCCTCAGGATGTCACTGCTTTTAAAACACTCACTTTGTAGAAGGATGGTGTGAAAAAGAGAAGTCATGATGAGAAATACAAAAATAGATCTGAACCACTGATCACTTTTAATTTCATGTCTACTCATGAATTGCATTTTAAAAGAGAATTGATCCAGTGCATCTCGGTACATCTCATTAGTGTTGAAATTCAATTAGGATTGATCAAATGGTGAGATCTCTTCTTATGCTTCTCATCGGAACCCGAACCTCCTATATGTTATGTTAAACATAAAAACCCTTTATGTGTCTGTTGTTTAAAATAATCTATATAAGAGTTTATGATTCAAAAATATCTATTTTAGATTAGAATAATTTCAAAAAAGAAAAATATTACATTTTTGTCTGGTTCTTGTTCAATGTCGTGTCAAACATGGAATAATGAGTTGTCTCTTGTCATATACTGTCCAGTTCTATGTACCAAACAAAACCTTAATGTAATATCTGCATTAGATATTAAAACCTTTTTCAAAATTTTATACAGTTTTGCAAAATCGATGCAATATTTGATAGAACCCATCGTTTTATTAAAACGTTTGACGAAACACGTCGTTTTATTAAAACTTTTGATGAAAGACGTGGTTAAAAGATGATATGAGTAATTTATTCATCTCATAGGATAACAAAACGAGTGATGGATAAATGGTAAAAGGAAATTTCATTTTCAACTAAAAATAATTTTGTTAAACCCCAAACATATAAATAAAACATTGGTTTATAAATATAGTAATTATTTTATATCTGATTTAGACTCTAAATACAATTATAGTGTAATATTATAAAAACAATATAAAAATTGTAAGACAACAGTTCGTTGTATTTCTTTTCCCAACCCTGCTTTATTTTTCATTT